CTGCCCCCCCACAGCCTCCCCCACTATCAACAGTCCCACCAGAGGGTACATCAGTTACAAGTGATGAACCTGCACTGACACATCATTGTCACCTAAAGTCCATAGTTTACATGCAGGTTTGCTGTTGGTGTTGTGTACTTATGGGTTTGTACCCTTAGGTTGTGGCACGAATCCTCTATGATAGCATCATACAGAATAGTTCCACATGGTACCGTTATGAATTCATGGAGTTTAACCTTTGCTGGAATACAGTGCTCTGATATACTGCCCATAGTCAGACTTTATCTGTGCCCCATCCTGGCCTTTAGAGTATCTGTTTTCCTGAGTAGTGATCCAGTCTGGGATCGTTCACTGTGTTTAGTCATGTCTCTTTAGTCTCTGTTAACCTGTCTTTTGTCTTTCATGACATTGCCATATTGGAATTGTCCGAGTCTATTGTTTTATGAAATGTTCTCTCGTTGTTCCTATCCCATTCTTACTTTGGGGGGGATCATGTTTGAAAAGTATGGTTCACCTTCTCCAGTTTTCTGCCTGCAGAATGTTTTTTTCTCCCAGAATCTTGACTAAGAGGCAAGATGTTTTCATTTGAGATCTGAAACTTGGACCGAAACTGTGTTTACAGGAATTCATGGAAAGCAGTGCATCTGTGTGGCCTTGCTGGCTTTTATTTGTGGGTAGAATTAGAACTATCATCCTGTGTCCCCACACTGACCAAGACGCTGTTCCTTCCCCCACAGGAGAAGAGCGAGCCCTGTGTCTTGTTGACGTGAAGAAAGTGAAACAGTCCCTGGCACAGTCTCACCTTCCTGCCCAGCCAGACATCTCGCCCAACGTTTTTGAAGCTGTCAAGGGCTGCCACTTGTTTGCTGCTGGCAAGGTACGCTCTCCTCAGGGCCTCAATGTGCGGAAAGTTTCACTAATTAATTTCCAGGTCTTTTTTCCTAATATAAGCATTTAAGGGCTACACATTTTCTTCTAACTACAGTTTTAGTTGCACCCTGTGTATATATATATTTTATTGATTTCAGAGAGGAAGGGAGAGGGAGAGAGAGAGATAGAAACATCAATGATGAGAGAATCATTGATCGGTTGCCTCCTGCACACCCTACACTGAGGATCAAGCCCACAACCTGGGCATGTGCCCTTGGCTGGGAATCAAACCCGGAACCCTTCAGTTAACAGGCCAATGCTCTAGCCACTGAGCCAAACTGGCTAGGCTGCACCCTGTAAATTTTTATTCAACATATTTTTTAAATTTCTTATATTTATCTGTGAATGATGAGTTATTTAGAAATGTGCATCTTAGTTTCCAAAAATTGGTTTTTAAAAATTATAAGTTAATTTCATCATAATGTTTGAAATACACAAAAAATATATGGAGTATATATGTAAATTATAACATTATAACACCTAATACTGCTGTAAATATCCACAAACTCGCTATCCAACCCAAGAAATAGAATATTGCCAATAATTTTCATTTTCCTGTGTATTCCTTCCCTAATCCATCCCATTTCCCTCTCCCCACCCTGCCAGCCACCTTCCTTTCAGGACTGATTTGAACAATAAGCTTCTTTTCACTCTTGGTGAAATGACAAAGATCTAGGTGTAGGAGGTGAAGTAAGAGGGATTTAGCTGTTCTTGAAAAACAGTTTTAATGTAGAACTCTATATACATAGATCTTAGCTAAGAACTTTTCTTTTTGGGCCAAAATCTTCTCTAAATTCTTACAGCAATGTCTACTGCCTTTCCCCTCCCTGAGGGTATAAGATTATCAAAAGGCCCTGTCTCCAGCAGATACCACACACACACAAAATGCATGTGGGGCAGGTGGATTTCCTGAGCCTTTCTCTGAATCTCTGTTAAATCAGTGGTTCTCAAACAGGGGTGAGCCTGCCCTCGGGACGTTGGGCAATGGCTGGAGACATTTTTTGTCAAACGATTGGCATCTACTAGGCAGGGCCCAGGGTTGCTGCTGAGCATCCCACAATGCACAGAAGAGCCCCTCACCCAGAAGTCACCTGGTCAGGGCTCAGCAGTGCTGAGGGTGAGACCTCGCTCTTTTCCCGCCATCACTATACTCACCAGTGACGCTCCTTTTTCCTCCGACGCTTTCAGATTGAGAACGGGCTCTGCATCTGTGCAGCCATGCCCAGCAAAGTCGTCGTTCTCCGCTACAACGAAAACCTCAGCAAGTACTGCATTCGGAAGGTAAGTCTCGGGCCTGGTCCATCTGCGCTGCCCACGCGCTGGCGTAGAAAGCGTGCTTCTCAGGGCACAGCACGTGTCTGTCTCTTCACCTGCCGTCCTCTCGCCGGGTGGCCTGGGAGAGACCCTTCCTGGAGGAGGCTCCGGGCGCTGGTGGCTGCAGGTCTCCTCTCTAACTTCCTCCTGGTTGTGAGCTCCTCTTCAGCCCGCCCCGTGGATCCAGCTGTTCGTTAAGGTGGAAGGAAGGTGGCTGATGGGAGAGCAGGAAAAAAGGAGAGAGATCTCTGAGAGGCTGGCAGTCGCTGGGGGCACTTACTAGAATCTTTCTTGGGTCCTGGAAGCTTCTGTGAATTACCTTGGAAAAGCCAGTGCTGGCTGTGCTGGGCAGGGCAGGTAGAGCTGGCTCTCCCCGGAGCAGCGGGGTCAGGAGGATGACCGCAGGCTGGCAGGGTGCCCGTGGGCCCTTCCCGGCCTCGCTTCCAGAGAAGGCTGTCTGTCGGCCCAGAGTAGGATGTCCCACCCAATGAGCCCGATTTATTTCAGGTGCTTTCATGATTAGTCTCAAAAGTGAAAGGAAGGTGAATAAACCAGGCTCGTTCCTTGGAGGACCTGTCCACCCTGCATGGGCTGTTGTTAGTTTAGGGTGGATTTTTATTGAGCTCCAACTGGTACCAGGGACTGAGCTGGCTACTTTACAAACACATTTCACAGGGATTCTGAGAAGCAGGTGTGGCAATCCCCAGTTTCAGGTAGGACGATGGATAGAGGCTGGCCATGCTAAGTGACAGAGTCGAAACCAAAACTGAACTTCGATTTTTCCAACCATTTCACATTGTCTTACTGCCTAAAAGTTTCCTTCCATAGGAGAACTGGCGGCGTGGCTACCGTGGGCGGGGACACTCACATTCTCCTCTTGCCCTCTGTCTCAGGAGATAGAGACCTCAGAGCCCTGCAGCTGTATCCACTTCACCAACTACAGTATCCTCATCGGAACCAATAAATTCTACGAAATTGACATGAAGCAGTACACGCTTGAGGGTAGGGCCCCAGTCCTCCCAGCCCACACACTGCTCTGGCCTTGCCACCAGCTCCAGCCCCTTCCTGAAGCCCCGCTTCTCGCCTGCCTTTTCAGAATTCCTGGATAAGAACGACCATTCCTTGGCGCCTGCTGTGTTTGCCTCCACTTCCCACAGTTTCCCTGTCTCGATAATGCAGGTGAACAGTGCCGGGCAGCGGGAGGAGTACCTGCTCTGCTTCCACGGTGAGTCGGGGCTGCCGCTCGCTGCTGCTCTGAGGGCTGCTGGCACCAGCAGACCCAGACCGGGTCCCCCAGGGCTGCGATTGTCGGGGACACTGGGGCAAGGCGGGTCCTGCTGGGGTGCAGAGAACTCCTTCCAGCTTCCAGCTGCCACCAAGGCCTCTCAGGATGCCAGTCCTGCCCCCACCAGGGCGCTCCCCTGACCAGCGCTACTCCGTTCTGTCCGAAGGTCAGGCAGTCCTTTCTTTTCTGTCCTCACCTCTCTCCCCGTCCTCACCGCTCTCCCCGTCCTCACCTCTCTCCCCGTCCTCACCTCTCTCCCCGTCCTCACCTCTCTCCCCGTCCTTATATTTTTGTCTTTCCTTTTTCTTTCCTCTTGATGTGTCTCTTCTTTGTTCTTTCCAAATCTCTGGGTCTTTCTTCTCTTCCTTCCTGTCTCTGGGTCTCTGTTTCCCCCCTTTCCTCCCTGCCCTCCTTTCCCCAACCCTCCCTCCTCCCTCCTCCCTTTTCCTTTCCTCTCTCTCCCCCTTTCACTTGAACCCTCCTTTTCTAATAGATCAGGCTTAGCAGGGCCCTTAGGTTTTAACCATCTGGTGAAATCTGGCCAGTGGTCCCCTGGGCTCGATTCCTCCTTCTTCCGTCAAAGTGTGTGTCCGCCTCAGCTATGCTGATGCCCGGGCTCTGACTCCTTGCAGAATTTGGGGTGTTTGTGGATTCTTACGGGAGACGTAGCCGCACAGACGATCTCAAGTGGAGTCGCTTACCTTTGGCCTTCGGTGAGTGAGGCAAGGTGTGGAGGGCTCCTTTCGCCAGCAGCTGGTGTCCTGGGAAAGAATTGTGGGTGGAATTCGTTTTGGCCCAAGCACTGTGCTCGTGGATTCCATTGGACACCAAGTGCCACGTGTAGTCATCCCCCGAGTCCGTGCTCAGGGCAGAGTCTAAGGCTTGATAAAGAATTGCATCAGCCAAACCCACTGGCCTTGCGAAGTATTTGTGAGGGTCTCATGATAGAAAGCAGACCATTCCCTGAGTTTACTTACATCATTTCAAAGGCAGAGTATCCCATGGCCTAGCCGAACACCTGTCAATATTATCAGTTCTAATTGGGCAAAGCACTCAGGTCCTGGCCATTCTTGTTGCAAGTGTAAGTAGCACTGTGATGAAATCTTGTGCTAATTTGTATGCACTTGTCAAATGGTATCCTCTGCTCCTAAGTTCTAAACGTGGGACTATCTACGTGATCACACACACATACAAGCATGAACTTGCTTGTCCCTGTGAATGTTGGGAATTACCATCACAGCTGAAATGCCCTTCAAGGCTTTTTTACCTATTGCTGCATATCAAGTTTCAGAACCTAGTGACTTAACACAACTTATGGCCCATGATTCTGTGGTTGCCTGGATAGTTCTGTTTCATGTGTCAGCCGGGTCACAGGACAACTATAAAGTCCACAGTGGCCTCACCAACATGGCAGCAATTGGTGGGAGCCCGGCTGGGGCTGGTGGCTGGAGGCCTCAGCTCCTCTCCATGTGGGCAGAAGCGGAAGCTCAGGCCTCGCTTCCACCGTGTTCCGCTGGTTAAAGCAGGCCACAGAGCCAGCCCAGATTCAAGGCCAGGAGACTCCCCCGGGCCTCAGCACCGGGAGGCGTGACTAGTAGTCTAATACCCAAGCACAGGGACCACAGGCATAGGAGGGATGAGCTCCTTTTCCCTTTAAGACAGAAAAGATCTCCGGTCATCTTTAGAGTTTCAGTGACCAGAAATATCTAATTACCTATGAAACCAGTCTTTTTTTATTTAATTTTTTCAAAATGCACATAATCAAAAAATTTTAACGTGTACAATGAAAAGTTTCATCCATATTACCCATCTTCCAAACTCTCCATGCCCACTCTCTCAAGAGAAAAAAGTTTTGAGTTTCTCATCTTTCTAGGGCTTTATGCAAATGCAGAGGAAAATACATTCTTATGTCCCCCTTTTTGGTCATTACAGTAGCACACCTGACACATCATTCTGAACCTTGCTTTATGCACTAAGTAAAACTACAC